CTGAAGTCTACCTCTAGGCTCCACATGCACACACAAAATCATACATACGCTCTATAATTGCAGAACCAAGCAACAAGCGCATTATTCCAGTCTCAAGGAAACTCTGTTGCCTTTAACCAATGCCTCAGCTTTCCTGCTCACCCCAGGTTCTATTTTTAACTTTTAGAACATTAGTTCTCAACCTTTCTAATGCTGCAACCCCTTAATATGGTCTTCATGTTGTGGTGATCGCCAACCATAAAATTATCCATTGCTACTTCATAGCTGTAAGTTTACTACTGTTATGAATTGTAATGTAAATATCTGATATGCAGATGGTCTTAGGTGACACTTGTGAAAGGGTCACTCACTCCCCAAAGGGGTCTCGACCCACAGGTTGAGGACCACTGTTTCAGAAGAATATAAAGTGACAGATATAGTAAATAATTTGAGCCAACTATGTCATAATGTCACATTATTCCCCATAAATTATTCCAAATATATAAATATGCCCTTCTCATTCCATGGGGACATTCACAGATTGATAATATTTGAGGAAAAATATTGGCTCTGTACTGAAGATGTAGGGACTTTTGTCATTATTCCCCAAGAGTATAACCTAACAACTATTTTCATAGTACTTACAGGCACCAGGTATTATAAGTAAGCGAGGGATGAGTTACAGTGTACTGGAGGGTGGGGCTACGTTGTATGCTGGTTATATAAGAAAGCTGAGTATCTGCAGATTTGGGCATTCCCGCAGGCTCCTGGAACCAGCCCTCCATAGATAGTGAGAGACAACTATATCCATTTTATTATTCAAATTCTTGTTCACCACTTTAAATATATGGGTGCTGGACTTCATAAACAGCATTCTCAGCCATTCCCTGTAGAAATCTTGACATGGTGGCACACATTTGTCATCTCTCATTGCACCTGAAGGTTGCCATTTTGTCTGGTCTGGCCTTCAGCTTGCTCCATGGTTTCACTGGCTCTGCTTCCTGCCCCCCTAGGATTACAGGCCGCTTTTGCATCTGCCTTCTGGAGAGCCGGTCCTCATGCTTGCCATGCAAGCGTTTTACCCACTGAGCCATCTCCCTAGCAGTGAGCTCATGAATTTTTAATGTAAAGAATTCATCAATGATTAGTCCAAATATGGGAGATCTTGGGTAGAGGAAAGAAAAAGAAGGAAAAGTTTTGCTGAAAGTAATGGGAAATGTATATGCATAAACCACATTTAAGAAAACAGAAAGCTCCTTGTACTCAGTAACTGCAAGGAAAACAAACATTCTGCATCCAGGTGTTAGAAGAGTTTGCCTGGCTGGTCCATAGCTGGGTTCAGGACGGTGTGTTCCATAGCTGAGCCCTGTTTGGTTAAACCAGTGAATTTCAGTTCACCGCAGAGAAAATTTGCAGTCAAGGCCAAATGGGGTCCCTGTAATCCATACTCTAAAACCTGTTTTCTAAGCCCGCCTGCCAGAAGCCGGACGGTAGTTACAAGGTGAGCGTGCCTGTCTTTGTATTTCCCTCCTCCTGGGTCTCCAACTGCCCCTCAGCACTGAAGATTTCTGGAGAGTTTAGCTTCAATTCTGTTCACATCCCACATCTTCCGGACTGCTGTGTGCAGTTCCAACTAGAGCTGGAAATCCTTCAGCCTGGAACCTACTATCTAGTCTACCACTTCCCTTCTTAGCCATTCAGCTGCCTTCGGTCCCTGTAAACCCAAGTCTTCCCCGTCTCTGCTCTAGATCCTACGCTGCCCTGCCGGCCCATCTCAGTTAGGTGTTAGGAAAGCCAGCTCCTGTGATGAGGTCACACTGTTTGGTGAATGACTCCTAGTCATTCCCTGGCACAAATGAGCGCAGCATGGGTACACATGCACACCCTTCTCCCTGTCCTTGCAAAGAGCAGGCAGCTGGGGAAAGGAGGCTGCTGTATTTTTGATGATGTGTCTTCGGCAAAAGGGAACCAGTCCTAAAGTACAGCCTTGAAGTATTGGGCTCCAATTTAGCAAGCTCATTATCAAGTACATTCTGCTCTCCTCCTAATCTCTAGCCTTTCCCTTCTCCCTCGGAGCTATGGGACCTCGAGCATGGTTTGCACTGACTTTCATTAAAGTTTTTTCTAAGCCCGGAGGTATATTGTCACATACATAGGCATCTTTATTTATTGCTTCGATTACATGGGAGTCTGTCACTGGCTCTAAGAAAACTGGAGGAAACGGGTTCTATCTTGTCCAAGTTTGGAGATTTGTACTAAGTGATTGCTGAAACAGTGGCGTCACCAACCCCTCTTCCAGACTGAATCGGAGCGGTAGAACTTGAAAAGTGGGTGTGGAGCAAGAAGATAGTCTGAAATGGCTGCCTGGGGACCAATTCTCTTGTTTCTTGGAGAATGTAGGCATTTGGTAATTTTATTTGGATTATTCATGAGAGAAAGGGAGAGGGGGTATTACATGAAGGATGCTTGGGAAAGGGAGAGGAAATGGATGGCTTAACTCCTGGACCAGAATAGCCTTCAACTGGAACTTCAGTTTGGGGGCTTGAGAACAAAACTGGGATGAAAGAATTGTTTCCTTGACCTATTCCAGCAACTGCCTAATGAGAAGCGTTTTGTTCAGGGCAGATGGTCCCAGGTTGTGAGAGCGCATTAAGGAAAGGAGAGGGACACAAGGGGAGAGGGGAGTAGAACAAAGGGAGGGAGGGATGGGAGAGAGAAAGCCATTCTAAAGCACGCTTAGGACAAGGGGCTTTCTTTAGGCACAGCTAATAAAGCGACAGTAGTGGAGTGATTCTCTCTCTCCCACCCCGTGTGTGTGTGTGTGTGTGTGTGTGTGTGTGTGTGTGTGTGTGTGTGTTGGTGCTGCTGCTGTCTTTGTTGTTACTCTATGGGGGAAAATCAGCCAGCCCCAGCAGTGACACTTCAGAATAAAGAAAGAGCAGAACAAAGTGGCCTGTGGCTTCTTTTTACACCCCCGCAAGACTACAGAGCGAATGAAGAGTCATTAAGAAGACAGGAAAGACGGTGCGAGCATCAGAAACAAAGCACTTCGTCCAGGACAGTGCCCCCTTCGAGTGGGCCTCCACACCACGCTTTCCACTCATGAATTCCACAAATCTGTCAAGAGCAAAAGCAGAGAAAGAGCTGCCTGTTTACAGATGGGAAAAGGGAAGGTCTTAGGGGGGCTTTTTAGTATAGTAGGCACTCAATAAATATTACTCAAAAGATGAGATCATCTATATGGGGAATACTTAGTAGGGAACAAAAGTTAATCCCTACACTGATGCACATGCATTTCCTTCCAATTTTGAGGCACTTGTGGTTTTCCACATTTCGCGTGAAAGCTGAACTGAACAATATTTGATGACATCCTTCTCTCTCCTTGTTGCCTCGCTCTGCTGTTTCAGACAGTTCTTCTTAGCTTTGTTCTTTTCTCCTGCCACTGTGTCTACTACTCTTTTCAAGGGCAAAAAGCAAAAAGAACCCCAAAGATAACAAGCACAAATGAATCTGAAGCAAAGATTTTAGGAGCTAGTTGGTCTATCTAAACATAAAGCATAAACAAAATAAGTTCTTTTAAATATAGGACTTCTTTTAAGTATGCAGTATGCATTTAAAAATGTAAAATTAAGACCAGCATGATTGGAGGGGTAATTTTTTGGTCTTTTGAGACAGGGTTTCCCTGTGTAGCTTTGGAGCCTGTCCTGGATCTCTCTCTGTAGACCAGGCTGGCCTCGAACTCACAGAGATCCACCTGGCTCTGCCTCCCAAGTGCTGGGATTAAAGGAGTGTGCCACCACCGCCCGGCCGGAGGGGTATTTTTTTGAGAAAGGGGTCTTGCTCTGTAGCATAAGCTGACCTTGAACTTGTGGCAATCTTCTGCCTCTACCTCAGAAGTGTTAGGATTTCAGTGTAAGCCACCACACCTGGCTCAGAATGTTGTTTTTTTGTTTGTTTGCTTTGTGTTTTATTTTTCTATTTTGAGAAAGTCTCACTATGTAGCTCCAGCTGTTTTCTCTCCCCCCCCCCCTTCCCAAAATTTCTCTGATTTGCAACACATCCCACTGGATCAGAGAATCTTTTGGTCATCCTGAGTTACAGCACTACTGACAGAGTCCCGGCTGAATTCTTTTGGTCATGTTTCATTGAGCCCTTCAGCCAAACTTCAATATGCGGTTGTCAGGGGCAAAATGCATTTTCTCCTTCAGTTTTTAAAGAACTTTGTATTTCATTATGGGGAGGTGTGTGTTTGCCGCAGTGAATGCATGGAGGGCAGAGAGGGCAGAGGACAACTTTAAGGAGTCTCTCCTTCCACCATGTGAGTTCCAGGAATTGAACTCAGGTCAGCCCGTTTGCCAGCAGGTACCTTTACCCAATGAATCTCACCAAGCGTCTTCTTCACTTTTGAAATTCAATTTGTTTGCTAAGAAAGAAGGTCATAAGGAAGGGCTCATTGGGATAATCTATGTGAGGACATCACAACCATTCAGGTAGACTAGGTTGCTAGTTTGAATGAAACTTATTGCCCATGCCTGATTTAATTTTTAACACGAAAACTGTTTTGTTTGGGTTTCATGCTGGCCTTACACAGATGGGATACCAATCCTGATCAGTGCAGATTCTCATGCTGCACAAGAGGGAGGAGTACATGTTTTATACCAGAACAGCATGAGAACGCCACTTAAAGAAGCCATGTGCCACCATTCCAGGCCCATGTAGCTCAGAGGTAGAGCACCATCACATAAATAAATAAATAAATAAATAAATAAATAAATAAATAAATAAATAAATAAATAAATAATAAATAATAAATAAATAAATAAAATCCCAAGAAACCATGTTAGTTATATTTCACATGCAAGTTCCTTCAACAAAATTATAAAATTCACTTTTGCCTCACATGGAAGTTTCCCTCTTCTCTGTGTTTTTGCTTCAAAAACTTATACTTGAACTTTGCATAAGCCATATGGTAACTCACCTCTTGTATTTTTATGTGTTCTAGAATTCCTTTTTGGACGCCTTCTTGCCTCCTGTGAGTTGTTACCCAACCTACTGCAAGAATGAAACTCTTCAACTTCCTGGGAGCAATGGTCTTCTTCACCTTCATGGTCTCCAGCTATTCTGAACAAAACCAAGTGAATGTCCTGTGCTCGACAGATTGGTTCATGGTCACAGTTCACCCCTTCCTGCTGAATAGTGATGTCTATGTGCATTTTTATGAGGTGCATTTGGGCCTGGGTTGTCCTCCCAACCATGTTTACCCACACTTCTACGAGTTTACCTACCGCGTTACAGAATGTGGCATCCGCATCAAGGCCATCTCTCCAGATGTAGTTATCTACAGCTCTGAGATTCACTATATCTCCAAGGCCACACCTTCTAGATATGTGATCCCCGTGTCGTGCGCTGCCCCTCGACGGTCCCCTTGGCTCACTAAGCCCCACTCCGTGAATGCTGCCAACAACAACATGGCTGCGACCCCGAAGAATGATACAAGCTACCAGGTGTTCAGCTTGCCAGAGCCTAGCCAGGCATCCAACTGCAGCTGCCCACCTTCTGTCTTCAATCAACAGAGCATGTAAGCCCCACATCACCGGGCAGAGTCTTCGGAGGCCCATCTTGTGTAGTCATCTGACTCCACTGATATTTCTGGGGACTAATGTGTTCACTCAGATGATAGGAGGAAACCCATGTAGTGCCCAGATTTGGGGGCTTCTGAAAACTCTGTTTCTAGAATTAGTATGTAGCATTTTCTACTGTCAGTCAAATAAGTGCCATTATGGCTTTTTTAGGGGAATTTTGTGAAGGGTCAATTCATATATACCTGATTACAACTTTCTTTTTTTTACTATTTTTGTATCTCTAAAAAAAAAATAAAATTCTGATGGCATTGAAGTATCAGTTGGATGGTTTTGCTTTAGAAACATGTATCTCTTTTTATCTATGGACCAGGAGTTAATGTACATATTTGGCGACATCAGTGCCTGGGTTTTTCTCTCTAGGATGATTTCCCACCCCTTCAGGTTCCTCTCCAAAGCCTTTCCCAGGAGACTCTCTTCCTCTGTATCCCCACTTCCCATCTCTGTTTACCACAAACGAGCTTAACACTAAGTCTCCCTCGTTTGATCTCCAGCTATACCACTTTTTATGTACAGAAAGGATAAGCTGGTTATCTTCAAGTCTCCAGTGATTCTGGGAAGCAGACAAGTCACGTTCCAATGGTCCCAGGCTAGGTTCCCAAGGCTAAGCTGGATCATAAACTTACAGTACTTTGATAAAAAGCCCTCCTACCCCCAACATATAAACTGTCAGAAAGCAGCCTCAAAGTGTGGCTGTCCATTAGCTTTCTCCAAGGCTTGGAGCCACAAGAGGAAGTGAATAAGTCAACAACTATTTATTATGCAGTGAAGTTCCATGCAGACCTGGCTCTGGCTACCAAGGAAATGGGAGTGAGAAGAAAGGGACTCCGAAATTGAGGTCACGTAGCTAGTAAGCAAATAAGTAAAAAAAGATAAATTCAGATAGTGACAAATGCTATGAAGAACTTCAAACAAAGTGACATGGGAAACTGGGAAGGGACCAGGCCTCTGAGGTCTTGCCGTTTGAACTATGTCTTGGATGTGAGGGCAGGGAAAAAAATCTAGAGAGCAAATATTCCAGAGAGTAGAAACATCTCATTTAACCCTGACTACAACCTTAGGAAAGACGTGCTCCTGTCACACCCTCTTTAAAAATGAGAAAACTGGCCGGGCGGTGGTGGCGCATGCCTTTAATCCCAGCACTCGGGAGGCAGAGCCAGGTGGATCTCTGTGAGTTCGAGGCCAGCCTGGGCTACCAAGTGAGTCCCAGGAAAGGCGCAAAGCTACACAGAGAAACCCTGTCTCGAAAAACCAAAAAAAAAAAAAATGAGAAAACTGGACTTAGCAGAGGCATGAGGATTGCTACAAGTTCAAACTAATATTATCTACATAGTGAGACTATCTCAAACACACACACACACACACACACACACACACACACACACACACACACACACGGGAGTGAGGGGGAATTGAGGCATGGATGATTAAGAAAGCAGTTCAAGGCCATATACCTAATAAGAATCAGACTCTTAAAAACATTATGTTGTGGGGTTGGGGATTTAGCTCCATGGTAGAGCACTTGCCTAGCAAGCACAAGGCCCTGGGTTCAGTCCTCAGCTCTGGAAAGAAAAAAGAAAAAACATTATGTTGTACATCATAAGCATAAAATTATTTGTCAATCAAAATTACTTTTTAAAGAGGAACCCAATGTTTAGGAGAGATGGCTCAGTGGTTAAAACCACTTGCTACTTTTCCAGAAGGCCCAAGTTCAGTTCCCAGCACCCACATCAGGCAACTCACAACCATCTATAACTTGAGTTTCAGGAGATCCTAAGCCTCTAGCCTCTGGTAGCACCTGCACACACATGCCCACCCACATGCATGCACACACACACACACACACACACACACACACACACACACACACACACATCTACACATAATTAAATATATTAAAAACAAATTTTGAACTAAAAAGGACGCAATGTTTTAGCACATTTTTTCTCATTAATAAAGGTGGAGTGCAGGCCTGGAGAGATGGCTCAGAGGTTAAGAGCACTGACTGCTCTTCCAGAGGTCCAGAGGTCCTGAGTTCAATTCCCAGCACCCACATGGTGGCTCACAACCATCTGTAATGAGATCTGGCGCCCTCTTCTGTATACATAATAAATAAATAAGTTGTTTTAGAAAAAGAATGGATAGTCAAGGTGGAGTGCTTTAACAGACAAATACATATTTGAAAGGAAATCATCAAGCAAAGAAATTCAACTATGGTAGTCAAAGGAACAGAGATTCGTCTCAGTATCTCTAGCCCTTTTTGATAAAATGCCAGGTAGCAATCCCTGGAAGTAGAACATGACTGCAACCAATATTTATTACAGTTATCTTGTATGTCAGTCACTGCATTAGATGTTGGGAATTCAATGGCTGACAAAACTACCACACTCTGATTGATAGGACCATGGAAAGATGCCTACAGAGTTAGAGGCTGCAAAGGCTATTCAAGGCCAGAGAATGGATTTGCACAAAGATATGAGGACCGGGGCCCAGGTCATTGGAGGAAGTGCCAGTAGTCTATTCCAATACAGTGGAGGCAAGGACAAAGGGGCAGATGATGATGGGAAACAATGGACGCGGTTAAAATTAAAAAAAAAAAAAAGACTTCAAAGATGACAGAAGTGACCACAGAAGGATGTGTGGAAAGATTGGGAAGAAATCCAGACCAGTTCTAGTCACCAGGGCCACAGATAAAAACCAAGATGAAGTAAGCCTACAATTCATGAAGCTGGGGACAGCTGAGGAGGATCTTACATGAAAGGTAGTTTCATTGAATTAGGTTGAAGGAGAAGGCCATTCTAGGTAAAGAGAATGGCAAAGAGAACTGACTGTCCCTTCTCTAGAAGCTATCAACAGCCAACAGCTCCTCAGCTGTGAGTGGGACTTGGTGAGCACACACACACACACACACACACACACACACACACACACACACACACACTTCATGCTGGAAATTTAGCCGGCTCGATCTTGCATGGTCCTATGTATGCAGCCACGGCTGCTGTGAGTTGTGATGTGCAACACCCCCCCCCTCCAGTGGGTGGCCCTACCCCCACACATACTGGCATCACTAAATGGACCCACAAGTTTAAAAAAATAGTAAATGAAGTTGGAAGTGAAAAGTGATGAGGAGGTATGGGAGACATTGGAAGGAGGCAGGAGGAGTAGATTTGATATAAAAAAAACTTATTGTATACATGCATAAAACTCTCAAATAATAAAAGAAAACATGTATGCAAAGAACTGCTGATCAGTAATCATATTTTACATAACTTGACAACCCAACATAATTAAAGAATGTTTGAAATCAGTAATAGGAACTGAGATGTAGCTCTGGAAGAACAAAGAGGTATCTTAACCATTAGGTCCTGTCTCCAACCCCTAAGCCCTGAGTTTTTAGTTGAGTAATTTAGTTGCCTTGTGATACACCACTCCAAAAGAATGTTTTCCTTCTTTATTGTGGCAATGCTCAGTTAATTTTTAAGGTGACATGATTTATAAAAGTCCATAACATAGTGTTCGGCATGTCTGTAATAATAGTAAGAAATGCTTTGTTGCCATTAAGGAAATGAGAATGTTCACCTTTCAATTTCTAGAAAAGCCAAAAATGTCTGCACCATTTGTTAGGATAATTGCTTGTCAGATCTTTAAAAATTAGAGCTGTAATGAGATGTTTCACCCATATAAGGAGACTCAGAGTTATATCCAGTTGTTTTGTTGTTGGGCCAAGGAAGCACAATGTGTGCAGGGCCCTGGGTTCAATCTCCCAGCACTATGAAAAAATTGTTCCCAGAGGCCAATAATAGAGAGCCATATTTTTAAAATATTGTTTATTTATTTATTCTTTGACCAAACCATATTTTTAATTGTGTAAAGTACACACACACACACACACACACACACACACACACACACACATATACACATAAATGCTAAGGGCAAATATCTTATTAATTTTAATGTATAAGCTCTTTTTATTACATTTGTGTGTGTGTGTGTGTGTGTGTGTGTGTGTGTGTGTGTGTGTGTGTGTGTGTGTCACAGCATGTGAATGGAGGTCAGAGAACAATGTTATGAAGTCACTTCTCTCCTTCCATCATGTGGCTTGGTAGCAAGAGCCTTTACCCTCTGAACCATGTCATTGGCCCTATAACCCGTTTTTTAGGTGTATATAAATACTCCGGTTCCTCCCTCCCTCAACCAATAAAGAAAATATGATCAAACACTAGCTTAAACTGTACACACACACACACACACACACACACACACACACACACACACACACACACACACAATTCATTAAAAAGTATGTTATCAAGAAATGAATGTTTATTGTAAGATGAAGGCTAAACTTCACAAAATGCCTGTTGCTTCTAATTAGTGTTAATCCCTATGACAATTTCTACAATGTCCTGTTTAAACTATAATTATAGCTGTTTATTCTCAAAGAGAGAGAGAAGTAGACAGTTTCAGTTCTGTGATTTTTTATGGCTCTTTCAACAAATGAGGTCAAAATTTAGCTTCTAAACTCACTTTAGCTATACAGTTACAAAAACTGTTGCATTGGTGAATCTTTTGCTGAATAATGAATTGCCCCAAACACCAAGCCCTGGTTGTGTGAGTCAGGAATCTGGGTAAGACTTAGCCAGGTGCCCCTGGCTCAGGGTCTCCAGTGGCAAGCTGTAGGAGGCAGCCACAGCCATCTCAACCCTTACCCAGAGCTGCAGAATCTGCCTCCAAGTTCACTCAAGTGGTTGTTGGCAGGAGACTCAGTCCTGTCTTGAGACCCTATCCATAAACTGTCCGGGTGTCCTCAGGTTTCCTCACACAACAGTTCCTGAGAAAGAGAAGAGAAGGGAAGAGGATGGAAAGGCAGGAGGGCCATGTTGGAATTTGCTTTCCAATCTCAGAACATCCTTTAATTTCTGCCACATTCTACCTATCAAAGGAGCCTCTAGATCACTTATTCTCAACCTGTGGGTCATGACCCCAGAACCATTGGAAAACACAGCTATTTACATTATAATTCATGATAGTAACAAAATTACAGTTATGGAGTAGCAACAAAAAGAATTTCATGGTTGAGGA